AATATTTTTAGAATAAGTAGGTATTTTGATGTAAATGTGATTTTTTTTGTTGAAGTCAAAGGTAGAAGAGTCCTTCCATGAGCGATTCCTCCTCCCGCTTCTCCCTTCAAGCCAAAAGCCAGCTCCGTGCTTGGTGTTCACCTCTGTTCTGGGTGCTGTGACGTGGGGAGCGGCATGCAGTCCCCCTCCCTCTCGGCACACTGCGCTTCACGGCGACACAGCCGGAATAGTTTTGGGCTTTTAACACGTAGGCATCGAGTTTATACAGGGCTCCCTGTTCCAAAGTGACCTGATATAGTGACAGCTGGTTGTTGCATCAGGTCTTGGCTTGCTTTATGGTGCCCTTCTTCTGTGTTTTGGGTAAAATCCTCAGTCACGATCCATGTACTTCACGCAGATCTGTTCCTCAGAATACACGACTGTATAATTAACTGCATAACCCTAATCAAAATGATGTGTCTTAATATTTTTATTTTATTTTCCAGCATGATTTATGTTCTGGTGAGCTCTTAAGAAGACATTCAGCAAGCTTTGTTCCAGTTAAGTGCATGCAAAAGCCGCAAAACATGGATTCTTTACAACGAGAACCTCTTACTGAGATTAGATATGGAACCCGATGATCGCATTTGTGTTAGAAAATGACGACACCCCTATTTTTAAATATTTCCACATTTTATACTTGTGGAAAGACTGTTTTCTTATATTTACTGGGACACTGAAATGAAATAATTACGTGTAAATTAATATAAAGATTACTGGGTTTTGAAGTTTTGACTTTGCACTCCATAAGGAACAGCCATAATCTTTGAGTAGGTATTGGTTCCTGACTAGCCTTAGTACACTAGGGATTCTCTTTAGGCTGGGCTTTGTAGTGGCTCGTTTGGACTTGCGTATCCCACTCTAACGATAAATCAGCTGTAGCTGCTGAGAGCTGGGGAAGGGCTGGAAGTGCTGTTTTACCTGTAGGCGATGTTGGTCTTGAGAGATGACTTCGTGGACACAATTGCAAAAATAGGAGATCTATTTTTGTTTTATTTTACTTTTTTTTTCCCTATCTGGTTAATCTTTCCCTGTATATGCACGGTTCAGAGACTTCTGTATTTTCACCGAACACTAGCCTTGCTTTAATTTCAAACATATGTCATTGTGATAGGGGACATGGAATTGTCCACGAAGGAATGAATTTAAATGATTGAATTTTTAATGTCTGTGTGGTGTTATGAACAAATGGACAAACCTACAACATTTATCAAGTCCAATGATGGAAATACTCTTGAGTCTAAGAGTAATACTACAGATGGTTTCAAAGCAAAAAGTGAGATTGTGAAACTGCCCTGCTGTTCCTTAGTGCAATAAATAAAAAAAAAAATCTCAAATTCAGAAACATTTCTTTTGACCTGGTCCCTCGTTTTTGTTTTTAAATTGAACAGATACTTGCTGGATTCATCTCTCTGTTTTATGATGGATAATTGCATTGCCTTTGAAAAATAGAACAGTGAATCAAGTTATGTCTGGAAAAGGGAAGCTCTGATTTCCTTTTTTTCATGGCTCTGCAGATAAATAGTAGGTGGGGCAGAGGGGAGATGTTTCAGCTGAACTGATCATATTGCCTTGTAAATTGTGACTGTGAACAGCTGCTTACTTTAGGAGTAATAATTAAGAATCTTTTTCATTTACCTGTGCTGGAGAAAAAGGAATAGCTTCCCCCTTCTAGTAAAATGGGTTTGTATCAACTATTTGTTCACTTTGGGTCTCTTGGGTGTGAGATGCAATAAAAATTGGTACGAATGGTTGGACAGTGGGCAGTGGCAAGGATGGAGGGAAAATAATATGAAAATATTCTTTGGGGAGTAAAAAATAGGGCAGGTAATTTCCATGTTACAGATGCCCCGAGCTAAAGGTTTAACATTCTAAACAGCCCTTGAATAACTTTTCTTCTGTTAATTCAGTTGCTTTTTGAGCACGTTTGTAGCTGAGTGTGGAAGATACTGTGAGACAGCGGGTTCTGCCATGGAATTACTCAGTGTGTAAGAAGTTTAAAATTTCTGCCAGAGTTCATTTGGTGCCCAAGAGCTCTTATTTTTTTAAGACATATTGAAATTTTCCCCCTCTGCACCTTATTTATGCTGGGTGTGATTGATTAGACCTTCATCATGTCATCTGTCAAAGAGGAAAAGTCTGTTTCATCTCGTCTTGATGGGAAATCCTGCCATAGGTTTGCGACTATCCTTTCTCCTCCACAGATGTCCCTTTTCTAAGCCAGAGGAGACCAGAACTGTTGGCACCACACGAGATTTGGGTGCCCGGAGGACTTAGCACTTTCCTACTCTCTGCTTCCAAATTCCTTTTTTTATAATGTACAGTGGGTATGAGAATTCAGGCTTCAAATTCTCTTTCCTAAAATAGGTACCTGACAGCTTATTACTATGTATATAGAATTTTCTCACTGTTTTTTCTTTGCATTTATTGATGCTTCATTTCCCATGCCGTTATTGCTCAAGCATTCAGCATTACAAGATTTAATTATTATTTTTTTCCTGACTGTCCCAAAACATTTGCATCAGTTGCAGGCTTTATCTCATGGCCCTTGTTTTCCCTGCAGCTCGCATACCTCAGGAGCTCGGCGAGGAACCTCTCCTCCCCCAAAACTTGTTACTCCTATTCTGTAATTCCCTTCTTCCCTCTGCAATCGTAATTTTGAGCTGTCAGCAGAAAAAAAATTTGAAAGGCTTTTTGGAAATTCAGGAATATTGTTCCTGTTGGATCATTTTTATTTTTGCTTTAGTTCCTTCAGAGACTGATGTAAGCCAAGTTGCACACCAGAATAAACAATGCAGGGTTTACAGAGTCCAGCTGATGGCTTCTTCTGAAAACCCCTTCCAGCTGCGGAGGCTTTACCTAGGAATATTTAGCAAAATGTTTGCTAAATGTAAAGCTGCTGGGCTTTACACATCTAATCTAAAAGCGCACGTCAGCCTCAGGTCGGAGTTTTACCGGAGTAGTCCTTGTGATGTCCGTGCGATGCTGAGCTAGAGTACTGTTCAGCTTGCAGACCTGGTATTAATTGATTCTGGGAGTTCCAGGAGGCAAAAGCTTATGGAAAAAATAATTATTTTTTTTTTCTCCTTGTCAGCAAGTTTCTTGCTAAGATGTATACTTCGTATCTGAATATGTTCAGTTGCAAGGATTCTGCACTGGGAGGTGGGGGGGCAGACGGCGCTTTTGCTTTACTGATTTGAGTGTCGGGGAGTTGTGTCAGGGGAGGGACAACGTACATTTTGAGCAGTGGTCTCCGTAAGTGACTCTGTGCTGTGGAAACGGGGAGTTCCTGTCTGCCTTAGGAGGCGAGAAGGGTAGTAAGAGCTAATTAAATATAATCTGTAGAAATCACCTTTAAACATGTGTTCTGGTGGCAGGATTCAAAGAATGTGTTAAGAGAAGGCTATAAATTTTAAAGTTAGCAAAGCAGCGCGTTCTACTTCAACTCAAACCTACTGGTGCTGTGGTAGTCTTGTGTCACAATATCGGACTCTAAAAGTTACCAGAACTATGAAAATACACCACAACCCCCCACGTGGCTGGAGGCTGCAGCTTTGGGGAAGCGCAGGAAGGTGACCCTCAGAGCGGGGCGGCAGTGCCAGCAACTGGCTGGGTTTTTGGAGCACTTGGAGCAGTAACTGCGAGGAGGAGGAGGAGGAGATGGTGACACTCAGCTGAGAGCAACTACACAGCAACTTCAGCCCAGGGGCAGTGGTTCCTCTGACTCCAGTGGTTTGTGCAACAGCAAGAGGCACGGCACGGGTGACACGGGCTGTCTTCCCAGGGCCAAAACTTACCTCACAGGGCATTGGAGGATGCCTGGGCGATCATCGCTTCCTCAGAATAGGCCAGAACTAGTTTAAATGCTTTCTTGAGAAGTCTGTTCATCTTCTCTGGTGTTCAGGAGTTAACAGTCCGCACCCCTCCTGTTTACGGGGGCGTTGCTGTGAGATTCTCTCCAGCCCACAGCCGATGGTTTATTTACTTGCTCTGGCATTAGCAGGCAGAAGTGCTGTGCCAGCATCTCACCCACGCAGCTCCAGCACAGTATCCAGGCAAAACCCCACCCGCTTGGCTTGTCACAGATCTTTAGTACAAAACCTCCTTCTATTGGGATGAGGAGGGGGGTCTTATTCCTAAATATCACCGAACTCACCAAGAGCGGCACTGGGGCATTTTAGAATGAGTTCTTTTTCATTCAAAAGGGGGACAGCAGTCCAGCAGGAAAGTTTCCATAATTGACTTTCCTTTAAAGATACAGCTGAGTTTGGGTTTGGTTTTTTTTTAAAGAACCCCAGTGATGTAATTGTTATCTACCTATGTTATCCCAGCCTGATTTTCATCTCTTCCCCCTTTTCCTTCCCGCACACTGGAGCGCTGGAAGCCTGCATATAGCTGTGAGGAGTTACAGACTATTCTGTTTCCTCCTATATCCTGCCTTCATGCCCAGTTGCTTGTCCCGATTCTGATGCTACGTAGAACAGATGAAGCCAAACTGAAATTCAGTCGCTGCTTTGACAGCCAGACCTCCCTTCCACTCAGTAAGTTCACTGAAGGAGCCCATAGGGTGTCAACGTGAAATAATCAGCGTACCAGTTCAATGGCAGCAGATGCTGTTGGTACCAAGCGATGTTAAATGCGAGGTAGACACTGCGTAAGTCATTATTCTATTGAAAACAAACTCATTAAGCATGCAGGCTACCAGCAGAGCAGTAATGAACACAAATAGACTTCCATATATTTTTAAGGCAGTGAGTACGAAAGACTGCCAAATAGAGGAAGATGCTGTACGTTCTGTAGGATTTCCTTCCCCCGCCCTAACATTTTACACGTAGATGTGGAAGCAAGCAGCTGTGTCACACGGGCAGCAGCGATGAGAAACTGTGATGGTCAGGAGTGAGACTTCTTGGCCAGGTGACTGCCGCAGCCACGTAGACAAAGACACCCCATGCCAGTATTGGTTATCGCGATACCGATCTTAGTATCGTATCTTTTGTTGCCAGATATGCAGCTAGGTTCTCTCGAAAGTCATGGAGGTAGTTGTATTGCTGAAAAAAGCACAACCAGATTTGTAATGAGCGTTCTATACTTTCCGAACTACCCATCTTAAAAAGCTGTTTGATACCCCAGGATGAAAACTGCACCCTCTAGTACCTTTATTTGTTCTTGTGCTTACTCCAAATCCTCTGGAATTTTTCACCCTCAGACACAGATTACCTGGATCCCGGCTGGGCTCCTATGGTAACCCTGGCTCAAGGTAACACAAAACATGGTCCTCAGGAGGTGAGAGCTTCATGTCAGAACTCAAAGCTGCTTTATTTGGGTCACCAAGTGTATTACTTTCTCCTTAATGGGTCCATGATGCAGAACACAGTTTTTAGCTAGTATAACTATGTACACCAGTTTATAGTAAGAGTTCTTAGGTCAACCCATACATTATGTGGAGTATCAATACACACATGTTCAAAATGAGATAAAAAACGTTGGTCAGCAGAGGCTAAAGGACCGATTGTCCACCCCAGGTGGCCACGAGGGCTTCCAGCTAGAACATTTGTTCATATACTTCTCTGCCTCTTCAGCCAGGGCTGCAAGCCGCTCCCCACCTGCCCCTTTGGTTTGTGGAAAAATTATTTTCAACAAGGAGTTTCAGTGAGATTTGCCTTCCAGAGAGGCTGAGAGCTAACAAAGAGACAGTCTTTAGGCAGTTCCTCCTCCTCAGAAACTATCTTGTTAACTTTCTAAATGTCAGCTCCTCTTTCCTGCACCCAGCACTGTTTTAACAGCATGACATCCAGGATTCGTGTCAACAGAAATACGTACACAGGGTAGCTAAAAATCCCACCAAAAGATGAAAATTTCATTATTATATGTTTTAACACTAGTGCTAGGGATGCTTCTTAAAAGACAACTGCCGGTATATCAATGTGGTAGCTACAGAAGATGAACATGGCTAGCTTGGTTACAAAGATGGAACAAAACCAAGGCAGAAGAATCAAGCAGATGCCCGAGTTGTGAGGAGCATGTGAGCAACAGAAAGAGTGACAACAGCTTAGTGGGGGATGAGGAGGGATAAGGAGGAGAAAGCAACAAGTTACTAAGGATGGTGAAGAGCAGGCAGGGAGAACAGCTGTTGAATTTAGTAGAGGCAGACCAAGACAGAAAGCTAGAAGCAGCTCAAACCCAAGAGAGCAGCAGCGGCACCAGCTGCGGAGCGTCTCGGAAATACAGAGGGAACCCTTTGTGAAGCGAAGGGGAGGACCGCGCGAACTCGCAACTCTTGTTTCAACACGTGTATTACCTGCCGTAGCCTCATTACCTTGATGGTCTGTATCGCCCCAGATCCTCTCAAGTTTCTGAGGCTGTCTATCGCCTGCTGGGGTGCCAGCACATCCGAAAGCTGAAGCAGGAGACACGCAGCTACTGCAAGGGAAAGGTACACACATATGTATGCTACTGAGCGCCTTACGCTGTACGCAGCACCGCTTTTGCACAGGAACAAGTTTGTTCCAGGAAAAGCACTCTAGCAAAACTCAACCCCATCACATCAAGGTCGCAGAGCTGTTGGATCTTTTGCTGAATACTATTTCTTGGCACTGGCCCCATCTGCCTGCTGCTCCTGCCCAAGCATGCAGGCTTTGGAAACAGGTGAAAACCCTCCCACTGCTCCCCCCTGCCTTTCCAGCAGCATTTGGGAGGCAAATCCTAGGCTTTTCAAGAATGAGTTCCAGTACACCCAGTTAATTCCCCTTTGTGTCTTCTGACCACATTTGCTTTTTGGGCAGTATCACCACCCCTTCCTTCAGGCGCAATAACTAATGCCCCTGAAAGCTTTAGGGGGAACATTGGGCTGAAGAAAGATGCAGAGGAATAGATTCATCTCCTTTTCTTGAGATGTTCAGGGAAGAGGGGAAAATATAATCCCATTGGTCAGGCGAGACTAAAATTTGCAGTGAAAATGGAGAAAAAGTCAGAAAGCAAGAGAGAACTTTCTAGCAGCCTCACTGAAAGACTGACCCTGCCTGACCCTCCATCCTCTCACCTACATACTCAGGTCTATACCATTGACATACTTAGGTCACTCATCACAGTTTCCATACAGGCAGCTGATGTTACTACCATTTGGCAACACCTTTCTCAAGAAACAGGCCCAAATATAGTAACTAGCCTGCTACCTGTAATGGCAGTTTGCACAGTAACCACAGCTAAGCTTCAGGCAGAATTTGGCTCCTTTAGACAGCGCTGTCTCATGAGAACGGGTTTGTAAGACGGGTTAGTTACTCAGGGATTGAGGGGGAAGGCAACTGCTTACTGAGACATGAGCGTCCGAGGCCACCGTAACAGCTGAAAGAGAAGAACACGTTTGGTTGTAACAAGCTGCAACACCCAGAGCCCCCTCAGTATGTAAATATACGGACACAATTCTTGCCTTAAGATAATCAAGGGGAGCAGCAGTACAAGAAAGACAGAATAAGAATTTCTATAGAAATATCTACAAGGCTATCTCCCATTTATTCTTCAGACCTCCCTTAAATAGTGTCTTTCTAGAGAAACTGCAATTTTAAAGTTCCCTTTCATTTATGGCAATAGTCCCAAAGGCACAGGAGGACAGATGACGGCATGAAGGTGGACGATCTCAATTTTCTTTAAATCTTACTCCAGATTAAGGCTTTGATGATAGTTATGAGCTAACAACAGCAGCAGGGTTCTGCATCAGCACGAAGCCCAAGGACTCGGTGGCTGGCTGTGCGGGGAGCTGTCGGCAGGATCGTTCAGGGAACATGGAACTTGGAAAACTCTTCCCCTCTACCCTGAGCTCAGCTACAAGTGTCTAAAGAAATTACTTCAAACCAGTTTCATGCAATTTAAGAGTGAATTTTACACTGCTGGAACCCACTGAGCCCGATAAACGGCCCAGGGGTGTGTTATGCTCTGACAACAGCTGCTTTAGCTTACAACTCAGTGTATACCTGATACCCAGCTAGGCTAGCAGCAAGGAGTCATACAGTGCCATTCAACACACACTTCGAAACACTTGCTGGTCAGAGCAAGGGGAAATGGAAGATTCGAATCTTACAAAGTAAAAGGGATTAAAAAGTAAACAGGATTCTGTTTCAGCTGGCTGTGTATCTAGAGAGAAGCTGGTATCTTTTACAGGAATGTGGGCTGAAAGGGAGGCGACCAGAACCTACTGTATGATTGTTTTCCGGTTACTTTCCAGGCAGCTTCTGAGCTCTTCCAGAATTTTGCAGCACTTGGCAATGTCAGGAGCATCCCCATCAGGAATAGGATAGTGGTGCACACAGATCCCATGCTGTTGGTAGGTGTCTATAAGGTTCGGTACTCGGTATTTCGAGAGCTCTCCTCTGGTACAAAGCACAAATATATCCTGGGTCCCATAGTTCTTTAGTTCTTCTGCCAACAGATTAAGACACTTGCAAATAAACGAAAGCCTATCAAGCTTAAGGATAAACAGATAAGCTACTTGGTACTGATTCTCTTGTTTAATCTTTGAGGTTAAGACAATAGGAGGTAGCAATTTTGCTTTGAGCAGCATTTACTTCTACTGAGTCTCCCCCACATTTGCCTTCAGGTAACCCATGAGAGGAATTTTCTCAGTTCCGAGTGAGTCTCGAGACAAGCCTCACTAGAAAGCTGTCAGCACTCGGAACAGGCTGTTACCTGCTGCCAGCTTAAGCATGATTCTGTCCCGTCTCCAGCTGTGACTACATCCAAACACCGTGGGTTTTTGTTATCTGTCTCTGCTCTTCTAGTATTTACAGATGAATACTCGGCAGAAATCTTTACATAATTTAATTTTTTCTATCCCAATCTCACTTTTCTCTGGGAAGAGATTAAAGTTTGAAATTCATCTTGATCCTAGCTGCTTTGAAGATGCTTTCTCCTGCACATGACTTAGCAGGCCTCATGGTTACTGTGAAAGATATGCAGATGCCTGTATCGCTCCAGCCTGGAAATACCCTGACTATTTATTCAATATTTGGTAGAGAAGCTACAGAGAAAGTGGCACTGCACACTTGAAAGTGATATCTAGTACTTGTAACAGTGACTGTGCTAAGATATTTGCTGCATCTTCAAGCACAGTGTTACCAAAACTCAAAGACATTGCTGCAGACATACCCCTAGCAAGACTTTGCAAAGAACTGTCCTGCATTCTAACATCATAGCACGTAGCGTCCATTGTAAAAGCATGAATAAAACACCACCGTTTCAGATACCCACTGTCTGGATCCTTACGCCCAGATTAGATGAAGAACAACTCCTGCAGTCTCCAGACTAAGACAAAGTAAATCTCTAGCTTCTTAGTAACTTATGCTTTCAGTTTACCTGCACATTGTTCATGCCCATTACATGGAATGAGAGGCACTTATGCACTGACCAGAGGACTCACCTATATCTTTCTGGAGATTTCTTCTAACATCCTTAAACCTGCAACCTAAAACAAATTATGAATGACAATTACCACTTCAGTAAGTGACATTTATGGAATGGCTCCTACAGCTGAAGCATAGAGCACAGACAACCTCCCACCAAAACCAAACAACAAAGCCACACCCCAACTAAAACACAGTTCTTATTTCTGCAAATAGATCACTAGCGCAGAAGAGGTACATTACAGAACATTATTATCTGCTTAATACTGTAATGTATTAAAAAAATGGATTAAAAAAAAAACCTGCCCAAGGTTTTAAGCTGCTATGCATTTTCCAGGTGAAAAGTTTTGGATATTATATACCAGAGTACAGCTTAAAAAACCCTCACAAACCAAACTAAACCAAAAAACCTCAACAAATAAAAGGGCTGGATAGAGATCACTTAAGAGTTGTATGGTTGACTGATAGGAAAGTTAAAAGTCCCTTGTTCTGCAATACTTAGCACCAATCACATTAAAAATCCTCCATACTATTCAATCTTCAGCATATTGCCATTTCCATTTTTTCCTCAGACCATGCTAACAAGGCATCTTTGCAGCCCCTACAGAACACCACACTACGATATTCACAGCTATTGTTTGGTTTGCGAGATGTAATTCCTCCAAGTATTTGCACTGTGTCCTCCCTCAGTCTTCTGTCTTTCACCTACAGCCCCATAGGCACACAATCTTCACGCCTGCCTTGAGAACAGTCAGGATCGTGCGTATACTGAAACGCCTTTTGAAAGCATGACAGCAGAATCCCACAGAGCAAGAGCTGTATCAGCAGGGCTATGACTGGAGGTTAGGTTAAACAGCTATTACATGAACAGCCCAGGTAGCTAAAAACCATAATGCAGCTATTTTTCGATGTACATGTTAACTGGTGTTCAAGTGTTATACATTTATTTTTATATCATGGCCATGGTAGTGCAACCCAGACACTAAGGGAGAGTGGTACAGAACTGTCAGCACAGCAAGTGAGTGTAATTTGAGCCCAATATATCTTATAAAGGAATTATTTGTCATAGTAGTCTTATTTCACTATTGTTGCTTGTTATAACTAGTAAACCAGGCTGAAAAGCCAAATATTTTAACTAGCAATGGAAGTCAGCCACTATTCTCTTACCATTCTGCCATATGATCTTGCATTAAGATATTCCCTAGATTAACTTTAGTATTTCTGAAACAATTATTCCAGTGGTAGATTACAAAACAAGTCACCCCACCAAGTAAATGGCACACAGAATTTTGGGGTACAAGATATTACCTCTCTTCAGCTTCAGACATGCCTGCAAATTTCAGTGAATGCTTCTTACCTGGAAGGGAACATAATCCCAGGAACTCAGAAGAGTAGAAAGGAGACAAAGACAACCTATATAAAAAATATAATTAAAAAATCAGAACAAAAGATTTTGATTATTTGAACAGAGATAACTCACTACTAGACATTCCTCTTCTGTGAGACCACAAGAAGAGTTACCTACCTATAATTTAATTTCAGGAATAAAATGGAAGTACTCCAGTGTTATTTCTACAACATCAGACAAGGGAATCACAGGTTTGGTAGCACACTTGGTCACATCCCCCTGCCCGAGAGGAGGAAAGCGTTGACAAATCCCCACGCTGGCAGCCAGATAGTGGGGCTGATCACTGCCCGCCAGTGACCAGCAAACGCTTCCAAAAGCGGACCCGGCCCCACACCCACAACCTCTGTCCGGGCTCCGGCAGGTGACGGGGCCCGGCACGGGTTTCCTTCAGGAAAAAAACCCTCCCTGATCACCGGAGAGGGATTACACGCAAACGCCCGCGTAGTTTCTGAGGGAAAGGACACCCGGGCCCGCCCCGGGGCGCGTCTCACCAGGAGATCGGGAGCGGCCTCGGGTCCTCCTCAGCGGCGTCTTCGTCAGAGGAGTCAAAGCCGCCCGCTTGCATCGC